CTCGTAACGCACGTCGACTTACTCTCTCCTCGTCGCGCATGGCGGCTTACTCTCTCCTCATCGCGTGCGGCGGCTTACTCTCTCCTCTTCTCTCCTTGTCACGCGTGGCGACTTACTCTCTCTTGTTGCTTACTCTCTCCTCATTGCGCACGAGGGCTTACTCTCTCCTGGTCGCGCATGACAGCTTACTCTCTCCTCATCGCGCATGATGGCATTCTCTCTTATGCCTGAAAACCTTGGTCCTTACACTGGCTCATGGTAATAGCACCTCCAATACCTACGGATGGCAATGGAGTTGGACCCGACCCATACCCGTCGGGTATACCCAACACGGGTACGAGTATGGGTCCAAGTTTTGGACCCACGGGTAGGATCCGGTTCCAATAAATGATACCTGGATAGTCTCGGGTCCGGGTATGGGTTTTGCTATACTAGACCCGGCAGGTACCTGAACCCAAATTTTTGTTTACCTAAAGGCTAAAGCCCTAAACCTAAAATTATTTCAGCACTTTTCGTCTTCCCCTAGTTCCCTAAACGGCCAAACCCCATTGCCATCCTCCCTCTTTGCAATTCTCCCTCTCTCAGTTTCGTGGAGACATAGATCTCTCTTTGGATCTCGAATGTCTCTGTCTCTCTAATCGCCCACCCTTCAGAAATTAGTTCTATGTTGTTTTCCATTGTAGGCTACAATAAAGGAAGCTCATAATGAAGGTGACAATAGACTCGGGATCCGATGGGCTAGACCCGAGACCTGACGGGTACGGGTTTGGGTCCAACTTTTGGACCCGACGGGTCAGGTCTCGGTCCAAAACTTGGACCCGAACACATTTCGGTCTGGGTCCCGGTCCAGTCGGACCCGATCCATTGCCACCCTTACCAATACCTAGATACCTCGTTGTGGCTTTCAATCTTACTCACACCATCCATTGACACCTTAAAAAAAAGATTAACTACCTAATTTATCTGAAAAAAGGGTTGGGGCCTGTCTTCCCTGCTAAAGTAACCAAAAAATTAAAAATAAACTTTGTTTTTTAGAGAGAGAGAGGCAGGAAGAGATTTACCCAAAAATAGGTGTGAATGGCAAGATAGGGTGTCAATTTCATTTTTAATGAAAGCATGGCAAAACAGTCCATGACCTATTTTCTTATTCTTTCCATGACCCATTTTATGATTCTTACGTCAATGAGTGAGTGCTAATTTAAAAAAATCCAAACATTATATGGCTAAAGTCTTTAAAAGTCACAACTTGCAGGTTTTTTTAGCATAAATTTCTCCATTGCCCTTTTTTTTTGGCACCCATTTCACAGGGGACCAAAGATTTTATACTATTTTTGGCAGCATTAAGTATTTATCTTTTCTATCTTCTAACCCTCTATACTCTTTTGACCTTATATTGTTTACCTAAACAAGATTTGAATTGACCACTTTTTATCAAAACGTGAAGTCCTGTTAATCCTTCATCTCTCTCTCTCAAAACTTCGTCAATCTTTCTCTCTCAAAACTCCTTTCTCTCTTGCCCCTCTCTCTCTATCATGCCCCAAATCAATAGGTTTTTGCTACAACTCTCCCCATTCTCTCTCTCCCCCTTTCTCTCTCTCCCTCTCAAAACTCCGTCATTCTCTCTCAGCCCCCATCCTCTTTTTCTCTCTCAAAACCCAATCAATGGATTTCTGCTGCAACTCTCCCCATTGTATCTCTCTCTCCTCTCTTTCTATTTATTTCTGAATAATTCTGTTTATTGGGTACTTTTTTATAGAAATGGAGAAACATTTACGTAGCTCATATGCGCTTCTTTTCTACTCTTCCAGGATAGAATTTTTCATGGGCTTTCCATTGCCAATTCTCTGGTTTTAATTTATTTCTTTTTGGCAAGCATGGTACTTTTATATATATATATATATATATCTTTGAGATTTTTACGTAACTTTATTATTCAATTTTCTCCTTCTTCTCTGACTTACCAAGTTTTGGGCATATTTGATAATCGGTGATAGTAAGGTGTTGTTTTATTGTAATATTTGCTACAATAATACATTTTGATAATTTTGAGTACTTTTTTTTTTTTTTGCTATAATGAGAATTGAGTACTATTTTCCTTTTCTATTCCTTTTTAAAGCTTAATCTTCTTACTAGTTGTGCTCTCTCATAAATGTTTTGGTTTTGAGTCTTGGGTCCTTGGTTTTTGTATTTGTCCTTTCTTCTAAATTTTATGCACTGACTTTGGGTCTTGAGAGAGAAAGAGAGAAAGGGGCTTAGAGAGAAAGATGGAGTTTTGCTAGGGAGAGTAACAAAGTTTTGAGAGGGAGAGAGAGAGAGAGCGGAGAAAGAGAGACGATGGAGAGAGTTGCAGTAACAGCTCACTGATTTTAGGCATGAGAGAGAGAGGGGTGAGAGAGAAAGGAGTTGAGAAAGAGAGATTGAGGGAGTTTTGAGAGAGAGACGGAAGGGTCAACGGGACTTTAGGTTTTGATAAAAGGAGGTCATTTTAAAATTTGTTTAGATAATAAATATAAGGTCAAAGGAGTCCACGGGTTAGAAAATAGAAAAAGATAAAGACTTAAAACCATTAGAAATAATATAAGATCTCGGATCCCCTAAAAAATGGGTGCCAAAAATAGGGGTATGAAAAAATTTACCAATTTTTAAAGCAATATATACTTTGATTTTGATTTATACATGAAATCAAATATTTGCTTTTCAGTTTTGGATATTTTATATTTGTCCCTAATCTTTCTTACCAAAATTTTTTATTATTGTGTTTTTTTTAAAAAATTGACTGAGTTGGCCAATTAGTCTCGGCAACTCAATGGGTTCGACTTTGACCCATGGTAATGTTTTAGGATGCAGTTTCACATGGCCTAGGTTTTACGTAAACAAAGTAAAACCTCACCTCAAGTCTTATTTTAAAAAGTACTTTGGGTATAAAAAGTCTTTATAATGGCTCTAAATTCAATTTTTAACATTGAATATGAAATTTGAATCTCAATTAATGGTATAAATCTTGAGGATCTATAACACTTATTTTTATGGCAAAATGAATTTAAATAATATGTTATGTACATTATTTTTAGGTCTTGAAATTCTAATTTCTTTTACAATCATAATAGTGAAGGACAAGATAACTGATTTAAAATTTTTTTAATGTTAGAACTACAATTTTTAGTGAGTTTTGAGATAACGCTTTACTTACTTTGAGAAAGCTACGGCCCTATCAAACCATGTTCCAATGTTTGAACTCCTGAGATTGACGATCGTTGGGACTACAAAGCGTGTTTTCCGTGACTACAAAGTTCTGGAAGCGGTGGTAATTGTTATTTATATTTATATTTTTTTTTGATCGTTAACACAAACGAAGCGATAGTTATTAAATACAAATCAAATCTCCAAGGTGTTGGTCCCACCAGATCGCGCTGAAGACTCATTCTTCTTGAGGCTCAAGCAACCATGCCAACATTTTGGTGCGCTTCGAATCAGCAGTCAAATGTATTTTTGACATTCCACCCATGTTTTGGGTGGTGTAAGAGTGAGCCGCTAAGATTTTTTGAAGCGAAGTTTCCGGAAAAGTGCAGAAAGGAAAATATGTGTATTATTTATGGATGCTGTTTCTACAAGGCCCCCGCCTCATTGAAAAAAATGTAAAGCATCATGCCAAACCTTGTCCCAAATACACTACAAGCATAAAAAATCTATACGATGGCTCTAAATTATATTTATATTATCCGTTATAAATTTTGTGGCTTAAAAAATGTCTCATGGACCTGTAAACACTTAAATCAGTAGTCAGTCTTAGATAATGTATTACAATATACATTATTTTTGTGGTTTGAAATTTTTTTTTCTCTTACATCCATAATATTCAAAGTTGAGATGATAGGTTTGAATATTTTCTAAACATCGTAATTAATTAATTAATTATTTTTTAGGATTTTTTACAATGACATCATTTATCTTTAGCATAAGGAGATTACATTTACTATAGCCCCCATATAAAATCTGACAATTTGGATGTGTTACAAAGTTCGAGAAATTTGTTTTTGACTTTTGAGCGAAGTCAATAAAATAAATGCAGCCACCCAATGTCACATCTCATGGTCAAGATTAATTGTGACCATCTTGTATTAAAGGTAAAATTGTCTCATTGGATACATTTTTTTAATATTTAAAATTGATTTACTTTTAATCATGTATACAATGCTCTCTTGGGAGCACAATTTATTTCTACTCCCTGCCAAATACCTTCTTGGGAGATTTTTCAATTTGAAATTTTGAGAACTACATAAGGATTGCTAAACGATAATTCTTTAAAAAATAAGTGAAATTTGTTTTTCTAATACTAAGATGTCATCATCTAAAAATTGGATCGTCTCTATTCCATCTTGTGACATTATTTTTTCAAGTACATTGATGGTACAATTAGAAACTATTTTGTATTGAGGTAATCTATGGATTGTAAAGGTTATATCTTCAAAATTTGGGGTTGTAAAATTCATTCTACCTGAAATTTTACCCGAGGGAGTTAATAGACAATATACTCCCAAGGGAGCCTAGAACTTATTTTAATTGAGGGGGTGCAGTTTTTATCGAGCCTAGGCCCTAAACAATCAAATTAGAGCCTACTTTCAACTAATATTGAGAAATGTGATTTCAATAGTAATTTTTTTTTGTAATAATCTTCAAAATATATTTTTATCTTTATTTGTAAAGTTTAAAAGCTTAAAAAATAGTGTAGATCGTCGTCGTATCTACGAAAACTTGAAAATCTTTAAAATTGATAGTCAAAAAATGTATCCTAAAATACACTATTTCCAAAACTTGAAATCTATTTTTTTTCTCATGTCCATGCAACTTGACATTGAGATGATCAAATTGAAGATATTTGAGGTATCAAAACATCCTCTAAATTTTTTTAAGTAGGCTCTAATTTGATTGTTTAGAGCCTCGGCTCTAGATAAACTTTTCCTTTATTTTATGACAAGGGAACTCACAATTTTGCTGCTTCCCCAATCGAAAACGAAGACGAACGAGCTAGCAACATTTGCGCTTCTCTCTCTCTAACGAGTTTCTTTCTCTCTCAACGGAGAAGGACGAACTGACAACAATTGTACTCCCTTCGCTCTCTCTCTAGTAACGGAGACCGACGGGCGAATAAAGAAAGATTGCTCTCTCTCTCTCTAGTTTTACTTTTAGGCTCCCGCTTGCTTGGAAGATGACAACGCCAAAGCCCTCTCTCTCCCTCTCGCCTGGAAAAGCACATGCCGTAACCCTTGTTTCTCTCTCTCTCTAAAGCTCCTCTCTCTCAGTCTCATGTAACGAAAGACCGCTCCTTTGTTCCTCTCTCGAGAACCTTCGCCTTTGCTGCTTCTGCTTCTGCTTCTGCTGCTGCAAGGTACTTAATTTGATCGAGTCTATTCTTCGTGGTAGGGTTTGCTTCTTCTTTTATCTTACAGTTAATGGGATTGGAGTGTTCAAGTATTTTCTCAAAGGAATTTGAGGAGTTATTGAGCTTCACTGTGGATATGAAACATGAAGTGGTGCTTAGCAATCCTTTTTTCGCTGTATTTTTAGTTGTTTGTAATGGTTGCCTGTTATTTTGTATTATTTGTGTCGGTTTATATTGTAACATGTATTCCATTTTATACTCATTTTGTGATGAGATCATGAGATTTCCTGGTGGTATGACATTCTCTAATTGATGCCTGATCATAAAACTGAAGATCAAAGAGAGAAATGAACCATGGAACAGTAAGTGAGGCTTGTTAGACAGAAAGAAGAGATTGGTAATTTGTGGGATATTCATTATCATATCTGTGGAATGGAGGAGTTAGAGGGAATGAATGAATCACAACACATTCTGTGTTGTTATTTATGGTATAGTCCTTCTCTGTCTATTATGAGATATTGGCACAAGGCGATACGGTTATTTTAAGAGTACTTTTTCTTTGTTGTCGATAACACTAGTCAAAATCAAGTTTCTGATTCTATGAGTACCAACAAAAGGTCATGAGCATGGTTTGTGAATTACAAGGATTTAAGAAGTAAGATTGTGCTTGTCACTTCTTAAGCTTTACCCAATTCATATGCGTATCTTATAATTACAGACTATGGATGAGTCTTTCCCTTAAGTTCCAGATGGATGAACCAATGCAAATCGATTCAAGGGACAAAGCTGAATGTCCAACCCCATGCAGTAGAGAAAGCTCGCGATGGTTATTCAGGGCTTTTAAATGAGTTCCATTCAATGTCTTTTTTTTTTTTGACAAGGTTATATAGGAATGGAACTTGAGACGTAGTGATATAAAAACCCAGCTGCTACTGCCTTGATCCAATCCCAATTCCCTAGTTCCATTCAATGTTCAAAAGCTCAAAAGTAGTCAATGAATCAGTTAGTGCCAAACCAAGTTGGCTTGTCATTGTAAAGAGTAAATTTGAAAAATCTGGGCAATTGTTTCAAAATTTTGGTTTAAGAACTAGAAAAGAGAGAGAGAAAAAGGAAAAAAAACAAGGTACCAATTATGGGAGTCAAGCACAGCCCATCAACCACAATGCTACTGCATGGAACAGACCATTTGTTGGCCAAATCAGAGGAAGAAAATCTTCCCTTGTTCATGCTTCCCTCTCACCTAACCTCTTACACCTCCCGCCACTTCTTCTCTCTCACATTGTTGCCCCTCATCGCCTCACCCTCTTTCTCTCTCTCGTCTCTCTACTTCCCCTCACCCTCACCCTCATCTCTCCTCTCTCACCTCCCATCTCCCGTCTACCATTAGTTCTCACATTTTGATGGATGTGCCTCGCCGTCACTTTTATCATGTGAAGAGCCTGCTTGGCCCAAGTTGCTGCCCCTATTTGACGGTGCCGCCGCCTTATACCATGAGACCTTGCTTTGCACAAGTTGCTACCCCTTGGAATGAGCACGCTTTTATTATGCCCTTTACGCAATTCAGTTTCTAGTTTTTTCCATCAGCCTCTCACACTCTTTTTACCTCCCATTATCTCATGTCTCATCATCCCTTTCTATACTGTATTCTGAGCAGCCAGTTTCTGGGCTGCCTCTTTCTTATTTTTCATGTAATTTTCATACTTTTATAAAGTTAACCATCTCTCAAAAAAAAAAATCATAAAAAGAACGCGTGGGAAAATTCTCAACTATTCATTTATCAGACTCTCTTACTGGAGGGGTTCAGTTGACTAAGAGAGTTTTTTTCGACTTGGAAATGAGTTTTTATTTAGTTGTTCTATACATGTACTTCTATTGCCAGCATGCTAACATAGTGGATAAAAGGTGAGTTCAACATTGTCAGCTTGGTAAAATGTTGTGCAGTTCTCTGCCAATATTTGTAAGTATAAAATTTCATAGGGTTATTAGTTTTCACTATTGAAATGAGTTGTTGGGAGCAAGTAGATTGAGGACCCCTTACGAAAATCGAAAGGGAATTTGAAGGGCAACTCTAGATTCAGTAATCTACCCACAAACAAGACATTGATTGTTGCAAGATATAACTCAATGGAAACAACAACAAAATTGTGCATGCACACGCTAAGATTGGGGGGGGGGGGGGGTCGTTGTTACGGATCTGATCTCCTTTTCACACCAATTGCTTTAATTCCATGTAGATAGGTCGATATCGTCTCCTTGGGCCTCTCTCTTTTGATTACTAGAACCACGAGGATTGTCCACAATACGAATCCTCGGCCTCAATATATGACTTGAGAGTTTTTGCTTTCGCAAGAAGAGGGATATTTTTACTAGATTTTCCTTGAAGAGGGAGGAGAGAGATGAAGGAACGTGGGTCTATGGGCTTTCTTTAGGGTGAGAGAGAAAAATAGAGAAGCCTTTTGGTAGGTATATGCAACCAACCGCGCTTTACCTCTCTCTACAACCCCCTTTTAGAGAGGAGCCCACTCTATTGATTCTCTTTCCCATGTGATTATCCCAATCTAATTGGAAATATGTCCAATTAACCACATGGAGTTGACTTTCTCAAGGTTGGGAAAGTTTTCAACCAATTCTATTTAAAAATATTCTCTCTTTCGTCCACTCATAACAAATAGTATAATTCCATGGAGATCCATCTACCCACAAGGGGGTGACCATCCAAATCCAATGTCTTACTCGCTCTGTAGTGGGTACAAATAAAGATGTTGGTCCCTTTAATGTGAAGGCCCAAGACAAATCCAATACTTCATCGGTTTCATTGATGATTACTCGCGCAATGGTCATGTGCATTTACTCTCAATAAATTTGAGGCAATTGATTACTTCAAGAGATTGAAGTTAGACAACCTCTAACTAGCGTGGGAAGAGAATTAAGGTTCTCAGAATTGACAGGGGCGACAGTGTACCTCTGAACTATTTAGGAAGGTTTGTCAAGATAATATGATTCATTGGCGGAAACAATGTCCTATAGTTACTGGTGAAACAATGTTGTAAAGTAACTGTACCCTTATGAACATGGTGAGGTCCATGATGCAATAATAAAAGCTGTTTTTAAGTTTTTGAGGAGATGCTATGTTGACTGCTATATACATCTTGAATAGGGTGCCTTCAAACTCTGTGCTTAAAACCTTTTGTAAGTTATGGAACAATAAACAACTTGAATTAAGTCATTTGCATCTTTGGGGGTTTGCTGGTTTTGCCCATATCTCATCTCAACTAACCGTTAAGCTAGACAAGAGGTCCATAGGTGTACCTTCATTAGGTAACCTGAGAATTCCAAGGGGCATGTCCTTTCCTATGAGTCTGAAGAGGGTGGCTAAGAGTGCTCGGATCCCATGATGTGGACTTCATTGAGTTGGTGTTCTAAATTAGGAAGTAGTCTAGGATGACCCTAGACGCTAAGAGATGGTTGAACCTAAGCTATAGGATGATGTTGATATTCCTCCACAGACGACGATAGTAAGAGTGCTCCCATGGTCGTTGAGGAAAGTGGGAGTGAGCCACTGTTCGTTACTGAACCTCGAAGGATTTTAGGTGGCAGATTTCCTGGAGACATTTTGAAATTGAAGAGGAAGATCTGGCATGCATCTCCATTGATGATGGTGATCATCATCCAAGCCATGTCAATTAATGATGATGAAGCGTGTTAATATCAGGAAGCTTTGAGATCACCTAATGTAGGCAAATTTATTAGTGCAATTGATGAAGAAATTATTTCCATGGAGATGAACAAAGTCTTGGAACTCTTGGATCTTCCTTTAGAGATAAAGGCCATAAGGAGCAAGTCTTGAAAATTAAGTGAGGTCAATGAAGCTATAATAAGTTTATGGTGATGAATCGGGTTACCTAAGTTGAGGGCGCGAACTATGAGGAGACATCCCTGATCATGAGAATGCTTTCAATTGACATATTTAGGTTTGGAGCTTTACTGAATTACATTAAAACAATATTCCTTGATAGGAACCTGGAGGAAGAGATACATGGAGCAACCCAAGGGCTTTGAGGTCCATTTGCAAGAGTAGAGCCTTGAAGCTTGCCAAGTCTATTTATGGACTTAAGCAATCCTCTTAAGAGTGGTAAATAAAATTTCATAGAGTTCTGAGCTCTTATAGATTTTCAGTGATAGAGCAGGACTATTGTGTATATGTCGAATGCCATGAGAGTTTCAACATCGTGTGGTTGTATGTCAATGATATCCTATTGACAGTTAATGACAAGGAGACGATTGATGCCACTAGGGAGTTGCTTTCCTCTAATTTTAATATGAAGGACATGGGTGAGGTGCATTATGTACTCAATGTTAAGTTGATCAAATCATTCTTAGAGGTCCCTTGAATTGCTTTAAGATATTTACATTAGAAAAATCTTATAGTAGTTGAATTGTAATCCCATTGATACTCTTGTCGAGAAAGGTCATGCACTCACTCTGAAAATCTTTGTCCAAAGATGAAGGCTAAGAGAGATTAGATGTCTCGTCTACCTATGAGAGCATGTTAGGCAGTTTAATGTTTGCCCTGCTATGTACGGGACTGGACATAAGTTATGTTGGACTTGTCAGTCACTACTAGAGCACTCCAGGTTAGGAGTATTGGCTGGCCGTGAAGAGAATACTCTGATATCTCCTAAGAATTGCATACTACTTACTGGTCTTTCAGGGAAATGATTAGTTGTAGGGATTTAATGATGCATATTCGGTAGGTGACTTGGATGAGTGTAAGTGGACATTGGGATATGTCCTCATTCTAGGTGGAGCAATTTCCTGTGGTAGCAAGAAGCAGACGTGTGTGGCACTGTCAACCATAGAGCCAGCGTATATTTCTTGTTGTGTAGCATTGCAGGAGGTCGTATGGCTTAGGAGGTTCTTGTGAAGCTTAGGGTCATATCGAATGCTTATGATAGCATGATACTAGTTTTCATAAAGGATCCAAAGGTTCATAGTAAATCAAATCG